CGTCCTCCTCCCCCTTCTCTGTCGAGGTGCCCGTCGCCCCTCCTCCCGCTTCGGCGCGAGGCCGCTGGCTGCCTGCCACGCTGCGCCCATTGACCCCGCCAGCACAACAATCCTCCTCCTCCTCCTCCTCCTCCTCCTCTTCCTCCTCCTCCTCCCTTACATCCTCCTCCTCTTCCTCCTCCTCCTCCCTTACCTCCTCCTTCTCCTCCTCCTCCTCCTCCTCGACCTCCTTTTCCGCCTCCCCCCTGAGGCCCTGCCAGGCCTCTGAGCCCCATCCTTCGCATGTCGATGGCCACGGGGCATCGGGGTCGGAAGCGGAACAGATGCGAGACACCACGACGAACGGAGTAAAGATCCTCGGGTCTCACACCCCTGCAGCGATTATACTCATAATCTCGACGCTTCCTCGTGAGCTCATCCGAAGTACATGTGTTGGCTAACCCACGAAGCTGACCCTGAGCAAACCTCATGAAGTCGCAGGACTCGACTTTTCAAGATTTGAGGTGTGCCGCCGCTTTTTGACGGTCCCGGTCCCGGGCATGAACTTTGACGGCCCAGCTTCCGTGAGATCTTTGCAGCGGGAGCTCGCGCCCAACTTCAGACCGATCAGCTCCCGCCATCTCACCACCCACCCAACCACCCCAACCTAACCCGAATGCCTCAATTTGCCCTCCATTTCCAGTGGGGGGGGTCGGGGAACATCGACAAAAACACGTATGGAACCCATACCCCCCCCAACCCGAAATTCGGGTCTTCGGGTTGGGTTGGGGTGGTCTGGTAGGTAGTCACCATCTGTCGGACGGCCCCGCCAGGCAAATCCGAGGCCTCCAGACTCGAGCCTCACGCGTCCCCGATGCCGAGACACAGGACGCACATGGCGCGGCTCGCCTGGGCGAGGGCCGGCTGCAGATCCGTGTCCGCGCGCCTCTCCGTCGCTATCGGCTCTCCGCGTGGCCAGGGAATCCAGTCCTGAGCGCGTGCATCCGGCCTGTGAGTTTCCGCACGTGCACCGGGTGGGTCCGCTTCCTGGCACGGTGGAGCGGAGTTTCGGCGGCGAGCTAGAGGGGGAAGTGAGAAGGAGAAGGCCTTCTCGGAAGGCTCGGAAGTCCCCCCGGCCTTCTGAACAGTTTTCTAAGCCTTCCCCGAAGACAAGGAAAACCGCTCAGAAGGCGCGAGTGCTTCTGAGAAGCCTCGCGGCCGTCTGAGAAGGCCTTCTCCTTCTCATTTCCCCCCCTCGCTCGCCGCCGAGAGTTGACAGTCAGCAAGGAACAGCTCGGCTTCGGAAGGAGCTCGTCGTTCCCTGTGCGGGGCTTGGCTGTTGCTCCGGGGCTCCTCGTGCACCCAGGCGCTAGGTGTTGAGGCCAAGGAGGGGCTTCCCTCGTTGTTTAGCGGTCCCTATGGTAGCAAGACGGCGGCAGGTTCGCCCCCGGCCGACGTGGTGGCGACCCCAACGCAGGCGTTCCAAGTGTTGAAGGGCGCCAGTGGCCTGGAGCGGGCCGTTATCGGACGATCACGGACACAGGAGAGTGGCGATCGTTTAAGGTTGAACGATCCACGCTGTGCCAGAAGCCAACGCCGAAGTCGTCGCGACACGAACTTGCCGCAAGGGGCTCAGGCTCAAGCTGGCGGCGAGCGAGGGGGGGAGATGAGAAAGAGAAGGCCTTCTCAGAAGGCGGCGGGGCTTCTCAGAAACCATCGCGCCTTCTGAAGAGTTGTTCGTGTCTTCGGGGAAGGCTTAGAAAGCTGTTCAGAAGGCCAGGGAACTTCCGAGCCTTCTGAGAAGGCCCGTCCATTCTCACTTCCCCCCCGCGCTCGCCGCCCAATGTTGGGCCAGAGACACCTTTGACAACCTCTGGCTGGTGGCTCTAGGCGCTGCCCTGGCACCGCAGCCACGCTTTGGTTCCTGGGAGGAGGAGGGGGAGGAGGAGGAGGAGGAGGAGGAGGAGGAGGAGGAGGAGGGAGGAGGAGGAGGAGGAGGGAGGAGGGAGGAGGAGGAGGAGGAGTCTTTTGGCCCAGGCTTGATCTGGCCCAGGGCTTGCTTTCGATCCGCTGCTCGTTCTTCCCCCATCTCTGGGTGCTCCCAGGGAGACTGGGGCCCAGGGCGTCGCCTGGGATTTGTCCCCCCTTGCCCGATGTAGAAAAACAACGTCTTTCCGCAATAGGGGAAGGCTTTCGCCGGGTCCGCTTGCTACCTTCCCAGGCTGCTCGGGCCCCTCGGGCTCACTGGGGCAGGGCTTCACAGAGGAGGGGGCCAGAGCAGAGGTGGTCGGAGCAGCGCGCCGCATCACCGATGCATCGGTGATGCGGCCCGATCTGGAGACCGTTTTCTCCATCCCGCCGTCGCCGATGCATCGGCGATGCATCGGCGATGCGGCGCGATCCTCCGACCACCTCTGCTCTGGCCCCATCTGGAAGGCGGACACGGGTTTCCTCGGGCTCATTGTGCTCCGTGGCTTCCTGCCCAAGAGGATCAGGAGGAGGAGGGGGAGGAGGAGGAGGAGGAGGAGGAGGAGGAGGAGGAGGAGGAGGAGGAGGAGGAGGGGGGGGAGGAGGAGGCAGGAAGGAGAGGAGGAGGAGAAGAGGAGAGGAGGAGAGGAGGGAGGAGGAAGGAGGAGGAGGAGGAGGAGGAGGCCCTCCCCTTACATAACCCCGCCCTCGTCCCTTTCTCACCATATTTCCCCCCGCCTCTTCTCTCTCTCTCTCTTTCTGTCTCTCTTCCTGCCAGGGAGGGCGGAGCGGGGGGGAGGCGGAGCAGGGCAGGTGCGATCGCTCCTGCTCCCCACGCGCGACATAGGGCGCGTGCACTCTTTCTTTAGATGCTCGTTTGGGGGACCTTCCTGTAGGCCACCTGACGGATCTGTTCGACTCTAGTTCGACTGTAGTCCGACTCTAGCGAGCTCGACTCAGCTTCGATTCAAGCTGTACTCAAGTTCGACTCAAGCTTGACTCGGTTCCGACTCCAGTCGACAGACGTCCGACGTGGCATCGACGCGGGATTGGAGCGAGTGGCTCCAGGAATGCCCCCAGAACTTGCCTCTAGCCTTCTGCCCCTCTTGGGGCACGTGCACCCCTTATAGGCATCCGACCCCTCGCGATCGACGTGCGGGACAGGGGCGGGCAAAAGGTGCCGAGAGACCGCCCGCCTGGGCCGCCGGGAGCCGCCTCGCCGCTCCCAAGACCCACTGGCGCCGTGTTGTCCTCACCCGGTGGGGCGAGGGGCCCCCCTGGTTTCTCCCCCCCCCCTTAGAAGTTGTCCTTCTGGGGGAGGAGGAGGAGGAGGAGGAGGAGGAGGAGGAGGAGGAGGAGGAGGAGGAGGGGGAGGAGATGATGATGATGATGATGATGATGATGATGATGATGATGATGATGATGATGATGATGATGATGATGATGATGATGATGATGATGATGATGATGATGATGATGCTGATGCTGATGCTGATGCTGATGATGATGATGATGATGATGATGATGATGATGAGGAGGGAGGAGGAGGAGGAGGAGGAGGAGGAGGAAAGGGGGGGGGGCCCTGGCCTCTGACCCCCCCCCCCCGAGAGAAATTGTCTTTTCAGGCCAGCGGCGGTGAACCGCGATCCCTCTCTCCGTCACTTCTCTTCTTCCCTGTCTTCCCCCCACTCGTCTCCCCCGTTCCCCTGTCCTCCTCCGTCTCCCGTCGTCGTCGTCGTCGTCGTCGTCGTCGTCGTCCTCCTCCTCCTCCTCCTCCTCCTCCTCCTCCTCCTGTGCGGGTGATCTGGGCCTCACTCTCGCCCGCCTCGGGTCCGCCGGAGCCCTCCTCCCGCCTGGCCGCGCCAGTTCATCCCCAGCAGGACTTCAGCTCCAGATCCAGACTGCAATGGTAGCTCCTCTTTGGGCGAACTTTTTCATCCATGTCCAGAACACCGCTCAGCGCATCATTGCATGTATTGTGCCCGAGTGGGCATCCATTCAGACTGCTTCGCATGCGTGCTATCTAGGAGTCCTCATGGGCCCTGCGGTAACACTGGACCTTCAATGGAAGAGCGCGTTTGACAACTACTGGATTCGTGGGGTCCAGCTTGCTTCTTCCACCCAAGGACCAGCAGCAGCCATCAAATTGCACAATACATGCATCAGTTCCACCCTTTCATGCCTTGCAAAGTCTTTTCCTTTTCCTGCGTCCTTTCTCAGGTATGAGCGCGACACGCTGCACAAGATCCTCAGGGATCCCCCCAAGTCCTGGTGCCTCGTCGACCTCGGTGCTCATTGGTGGTCTCGAAACTCCTCCCCGACTGCCCTGGTTCCGCTGCCACTCGTCTCTGGCGACGAAGACCACCACCACAGGATGGCAAGCTCACTTTCAAGCATTCTGGAATGCGCAAGGTCAGCGCAGTCCAGAACCCCTCCTGGTCGATCTGGCCCGGGCGCGAGTCCGTGCCACCGTTTCGCCCACGTTCCGGCAGAGCTCCAGCACCGCCGGGCACTGGCGTGCCCTCTCTTCTCTGACAGGCCGCCGTGCCAAGTTTCCCCCCGAGTGTGGCTAGGCACCTGGGCGCGCGGCGGACGACGACATGTCATCTGCTGGGCACGGTGGGCCTGGGGTTCAGCCGGCGATCTCCTCCGCCCCCCACGCCTCCCCCATGCCCCGACAGGTTCGCTGGCACCCTAAGCCGCCGCCCAGCCAAAACTATTCACAGCCTCCCTGACTTCGGCAGACTGATCTGACTTCGGCAGCCAAAACTATTCACAGCCAAACAAAAGTGCGAGCTGATCTGGCAGAGCGTTGGACGACGCTCCCTGACTTCGCCTGTGGAAGGGCCCCGCCGTCACGTGGGCAGTCCAGCAAACACTCGCAGGAGCACCGCTCGGCCCGCGCAAGGCCTGTCTGCTCGGCGGCGAAGGTTGCTCCGACCGTCTAGGCCACTACCCGTTTCCTCCTCCTCCTCCTCCTCCTCCTCCTCCTCCTCCTCCATCCTCCTCCCTCCATGCTGCGCTCGTCGTCGTCGTCCTCCCTCCTCGCTCCCAGGACCGCGCAGCTCTCAAGGAATGAGGGGCTCCCTCAGACCGCCCGCTGCGGTCCGCTCGGGCGGCTGGAGCAGCCCGGCCGAGGACGCCCCCGGGGGCCGAAGCCGCCCGCGGGGGGCTCCAGCCCAGCAGCGCTTTCGGGGGCCTTGCGACGGACGTCAGTGCAGACGGGGGTCAGCCAGAGCGCCGGAGGGGGGTCTCATTTCGGGGGGGGTCTCTTCCAGGCTATCTTGGAGGGCCTGGGGGGGTCTGGGGACGATGTTTTGGAGGGTTCTCCCACGGGAAGGGCCTGAAATGGCTTGTCTTGGAGGGTCCAGACCCCCTCCCTTTTATTACGAAATCTGGAGTACACTGACCCGGGCTTGCGTGCAGGGTTCTGCAGGATCCTGCAGGAGCTTGCCGGATCGTGCGGGATCCTGCAAAGCTTCCCTGACGCGGGTATGCACTGACCCGGGCCAGTGCGTACCCGACGCTCCTCGTGTCGTGGCGCAATTGCGGCGCCAGGCTTCTAGGCGAGCTCCGACCTCCTGTACCCTGACTCCGGATTCGCTGTAATGCCTGGGCGACTTCGCAAGCAGGTCAGAACTTCCAGCACCACTTTTGAAGCTCCTTTGATGCTTTGTTCGAGTTCCTTTGATGCCGATGTCCGCCCTGTTGAAGTCCGTCGTTGCTCCCGCCACAAGATTGCAGAAGTATCCGTCCTACTTCACCGAGGGAGTTAGTTTCCGCGAAATGAGTCGCATCTTTCCGGTTGTATTCCCAGCTTTAGTACACAAGCTCATGATTCAAAGCACGCCCCTTGGACCGTCTTGGGCGCCTCTTTTGGCCGTCTCGGGGCCCTCTTGAGCAATCCTGGGGCCCCTTTGGGGGCCTCTTTGTCCGTCTTGGGGTCTTCCAGGAGGCTGCTTGGGCCGTCATGGTCCTCTGAGAGCCGAAACAGGCGAGAACGCGACGATTTTTCAAAAACCAACAGGACATCAATGATTTTGGCTCCTCGAGGTGCTCTTTCGAGTCCTCTTGGGGCCCCCGTGAGCCGTCTTGGGGGCCTCGCGGGCCTTCTTGGGACCATCCAGGGCCGTCTTGGGCCGTCTTGGGGCCATTTTGGGCCATCGTGAGGCCCTCTTGGAGTCCCACGAGGCCCAAGAGGCCGAACTTGTTGTTTTTGTTCATGGTTTTTGTAGGCTTGGAGCCCCGGAAGGACGGCCGCCACCTTTGGTACGTCGCTGTGGCGCGACTCCAGGGGGGGTTATGGGGGAGACACACTTGAAACAATACAATATGTGGCAATTATACAACGATTGGATACATTGGATGCGTTGCATTATAGCCTTCGCAGAAAACGCTGCCGCTCAGCACGTCACTTCCGGACGTGGATTCCTCTCGCTTCGCGGGGTGCACGTCCGGAGCACGTACAGTCACGTCGTCGCTGGGCCTCTTGGAAGCCTTTTGGGGGCCTCCTGGAGGCCTCCTGGGAGTTTCTTTTGGCCTTTTGGGGGCTTCTTTGGGGGCTTTCCCCCCTCCCTTTTTTTCATACACCCTCCCCATCTTCCCTTCCATCGCCGGCTCCAATCATGGGCGCCGCAGTGACCAACTTCCACCTGGCTGGCGCTGCGCCGCAGTTCGCCCAGAGGGGGGGAAATAACATTACACACCCGTCGCCGTGTGGCCTTTGGGGGGCTTGTTGGAGGCCTTTTTGGAGGCTTCTGGGGGACTTCTTGGAGGCTTGTTGGGGGCCTCTTGGGGCCTCTTGGGGGCGTCTTGGGCCGTCTTGGCGCGCTTTTGCGCCGTTTCGCCCCGTCGGAGGCTGTCTTGGGGGCCTCTCGCGGCCGCATTGGAGCCCCCTTGTGGTCCTCTTGGGCCGTTTTCGCTGCCTCTTGGACCGTCTTGGGGGCCTCTTTGGGTCGTTTTGGGGCCCTCTTGGGCCGTCTTGGGGCCCTCTTGGGGGCTTTTTGGGCCGTTCTGGGGCGATTCTGGAAGCTGCTGGGGCCGTCATGGGTTTTTGAAAGCCGAAAAAAACGAGAACGCCAAAATATTGCAAGAACCATCGGACAATCAATGATTTCGGCCTCTGGAGGCGCAGTTATGGGCGCTCTTGGGCCCTGTTGGGCCGTCCTTGGAGTTTTTGGGGCCCTCTTGGGGCCGTCTTGGGGGCCTCATGAGCCCCCGTTGGGAATATCTTGGGCCGTCTTGGGCCGTCTTGGGGCCATGTTGGGCCATCTTCAGGCCGTCTTGGAGCCCCAAGAGGCCCAAGAGGCAGAATTTGTTGATTTTTCATAGGTTGTTGTAGGTTTTTCGAGCCCCAGAAGGGGGGGGGTCACTTTGGTCCGGCGGTGTGGCGCAGCTCCCAGGGGGGGGTTAGGGGGGCAGACATAATAATGTCACACAATACAATGTGTTGCAATTATGGAATCTTTGGATACATTGGATACGTTGCATTAAGGCGTTCGCCGAAAGACGCTGCCGCTCAGCACGTCACCTCCCGACGTGGATTCTTGGGCTTACGCCACACCGCCGACCTTGGGGAACTGGCGGTTGTTGCGTTTTGCTCCTGAGGGCCTGTTGTGTGCGTTTGGGGGGCCAATGGCGGCTCCGTCCGCGCCGCCTGTAGTGATTTCTGCGGCTGACATTCTCGGTGTCCGCCGTGCACGCATGGGGCATCGGGCGAGAACCCACGTTTGTAGACGGTGGGCGCATTTTAAAATGCCAGAAGGTTGATTATCGCATGGTCTTGGGCACACCCCGCCGCCGTGCCTGGGTTCTGGGTTTGACGCCGCTCGGATGGCTGATAGGGTCGCGTGGGAGGCGCGTCGGGGGCGTCATGGAGGCAGTTCTTGAACCTGTTGGGGGCCTGTGGCGGCGTCTGGGTTTTTTTGGGGGGCCCTCTTGGCGCTGTTCGGGGGCCTCTTGGAAGCTTTTGGGGGACTCTTGGGGGCATCTTGGGGACGGGAACTCGGAATGTCCGTTCGGGCTCCCCCTCTTAGGTCTCCCCTTGGGGCCCTCCTCGGGGGTTTTTCGGCCGTTTGTGAGGCTTCTGGGGCCGTCTTGTGGCCCTCGTGTGCCATCTTGGAGCCCTCTTGGGGGCCTCTTGGCCCGTTTGGGGCCGATCTTGAAGGCCCTTTCGACCTGGGTGGGCCTCGTGAGAGCACAAGAGGCGAATGTGCTACAACTGTAGGTTTTCCTAAGGGAGTGGGGCGATTTTTGCTCCTTCAAGGCTTCTTGGAACGCCCCGTGGCGACTTCTTGGAATGTCTTGGGGTCCTCTGGGGCCGTCTGGGGCCAATCTTGGGCGTCTTGGCGCGATCTTTCGGCGACTCGTGCCCCTCTGGGACAGTCCGGGGACCCACTTCGGGCCCTCTTGGCCCGTTTTGGGGCCCCCTGTCCCCCATGTCGCGCTCGGGCGGTCCCTGGGGGATCCCCCCCCTCCAAATTGATCGGACTGGGGTCCAGGGGGAGGGGTTTGGGGGGGGAAGCATTGCACACGCCGATGAACCCCAAGGGGTCGGCGGATTTTCTTTGTGGCGGATTATCCAGGGATTCTCTTGCGGCAGATTATAAATTGATTTCTTTTGTGGCGGATTACAAATGTACTCATTATGTGGCGTGTTTTTTTTGTTGTGGCGGATTACAAATGGTTTTCTTGTGTGGCTGATTACACATTAATTCCCTTTGTGGCTGATTCCATATGTTTTCCTTTTTGAGATGGACTACAGATTACCAGTGTATTTCTTTTTGTGGCGGATTACACAAGGATTCCCTGTGTAGCGGATTAGAAAAATCCTTCTGTGGTGGATTTCAAACTGATTTTTTTGCGGCGACTTTACAAACAAATCTTATGTGTGGCGAATTAGAAGAAGGATCCCTGTGGCGGGTTACACGTTGATGCATTTTGTCGAGGGGCATTTGGAGGAAACCAAAGAACATATTCAGAACACGAAATAAAAAAATCCATAAACATTGAACATTGCTGTGCCCTCAGCGTTTTTGGCGTCGAATGCTACGAACAATCGTAAAAAAGTAGTGTACTCAGCATCCAGAGCTCCCAAACTGTGTGTCTTACATTGTTTTCGGGTTCAGGGTGTAAAACACACAGTGTAAAACTTAGCGCTTTGGAACTCTGGAAGCTGACAACGTTGTTTTTTCTTACAGCTGTTCGCAGCATTCGACACCAAAGACGCCGATGGCACAGCAGTTTTCACAATTTGTTTTTGATCTTCAATGCTGTGTGCTATGTGTCTTGTTTGATGGGTTTCCTCCAAGTACCCTTCGACAAGGGGAATCCTTTCCTAATCCACTAAGGGAATCAATTTTAAATCCGCCACGAAGGGAATCAATGTGGAATCCGCCACAAAAAGAAACACATGTCTAATCCGCTACAAAAGGAATCATTTATGTAATCAGCCACAACAGGAATAAATTTGCAATCCGCCAGAGAAGGAATCATCTTGCAATCCGCCACATAATGAAATCCATGTGTAATCCGCCACAAAAGGAATCCATGTGTAATCCGCCACAAAAAGAATCAATGAGTAATCCGCCACAACTCGAATCAAATTGCAATCCTGCGCCTTTGCTAAACACAGATCAGCGGAGCGCTCTTTCATTGTCGCTGGCTAACCTTGAAAACTGTTGGTTCCAGGGCACTTGTTTAAAACCCTTACGGGGGGAGAGGGGGAGAGCGGCGGCAAGTGCGCGTGTGCAGCGCGAGAAACACGAAAGGCACAGAACGGTACACACACAAACTGTCGGAGGCGCGCGGATTTCTTGGATCGGCGCTGGACTATGCTGGCGGAGACCCTGGCGCCGCCTCTGTGCGCTCCGAGCGCCCCGCCAGGGATCGTTTCGATTCCTCCGATTCGATTCGATTCGATTTCGACGGCTTCCGGTTCCGATCCGATTCGACTTGGGATTCCGATGCGGACTCCGATGGCTCAATTGAGGCCTTACTAGCCTGTCGATCTCGATTCGACTTTCCGCCGATCCGATTCATGTCGATAGCCGGTCCGACGTGCCGAGTCGATTCTGGGCTCGCCTGCCAGCGGAGGGGGGCCCAGCGCCGACCCAAGAAGTCCGCGCGGAGCTCCCGACGTGGCTGCTCCACCGTGCAGCGCTTTCTCTCGCCGGCCTGGAGCATGTCCCTATCCCTACGATCGGCATCGCCTCATCTCGATGCCGATCTTGGGGACTCCCTCCGTTCCTGAGGGCGCATCCCTGAGGTTGTCGTCGACTTTCGGCTCGTTAATCTTAGGGATAGGGATACGTTCGAGGCTGGTTATCCTCCTGCATGCGGCAGGAGCGGGCGCCTCCGAGGGGCGGGGCGCGAGCACGCTACAGAAGCGGGCGTGCCTGCGCCCGCGAGGCAGTCCCGGAGGCCTCGCGCAGCGCGCAGAGGTCCGCACGTCCGGCCCGTCAGATGTGGGACGACGTTCACGCGGCGATCTGCCGACATGAATCCGAGGTAATTCCGACGTTAGGAGGAGGAGGAGGAGGAGGAGGAGGAGGAGGAAAAAGAGAAGGAAACGGAGGAGGAGAAGGAGCAGGAGGAGGAGGAGAAGGAGGAGGAGGAGGAAAGAGGGGGAGGAGGAGGAGGAGGAGGAGGAGGAGGAGGAGGAGGAGGAGGAGGAGGAGGAACTGGATCCGACGTCTGTGCGGTCTCAAGTTGCTGCGCGAGAGGCCTCCAGGATTTTCCGAAGGCCACGACGGCCACGAGGTTGAGAAGTGGCCTCGCCCCGGCAGGAGGATGGGACCGGCAGCAGCGGCGGTGGGGAGTCGGACAGCGCGGCGTCGAGCGCCTCCGACAACGACACCGCTGGAGGCGACCGTTGAGGAGAGCCGGGTAACATATCCACATATGCGCTCTCGCGGTCTGGACTCCGGAGCGCGATCCCGTGGATGTGAGGGTCGAAAGGAAACGTTCCGTGCGGGACATCCTCGAAAACACACCCCGTAGCCACGGGGGTCGCGGCCCAGGGGCCCAGCCCGCGAGGCGGCAGATACCATATGTATGCCGCCCACAGAGAGCGGGAGAGGGGCGGTTGGGCTCCAGGCCTCCAGAAGGGGGTCCGAGCAGACGGGGTCCGAGGATGGCGACGCGTAGATTTTTCCCGAACTGTGCTTCGCCGGCGAGCGAGAGGGGGAAGTGAGAAGGGGCGGGCCTTCTCAGAAGGCTCGGAAGTCCCCCGGCCTTCTGAGAAGCGTTCTAAGCCTTCCCCGGAGGCACAGAAAGCTTCCCGGACGGCGCGATGGCTTCTGCGAAGCCCCGCCGCCTTCCGAGAAGGCCTTCTCCTTCTCATTTCCCCCCATCGCTCGCCGCCAAGTGCTCGCACTCATGGTTCTGGTCGTCTCGTTGGGGTGATTGTTGTGGAGGACGATCAATGGAGAGGGAGCGTGTTGCCAAATACATTTCGGATGTCTAAAACATGTGTTAGACATAGTTGAGACCTGTAAACAGCATGTTTCAAGACATTTTGCAGGACATGTTTCCGACAATTTGAACACCTGGTTAATTCAGTGATCGGACTGTTAGGGTGTCCGTTGTCGCGGCATCCACAGGGTATTTGGTTGGGATTTTCACGCTCCTCGCCGCGCTGCGGCCCGTGGCCGCCTCGTGGGCGCCCGCTGGGCGCCCCGCGCCCCAAGGGGGGGTCTGCCGAGGGTGCGCCACGCTGCCGCCCGCGCCGCCTCGTGGGCGCCCCGCGTCTGAGGCATCTGCCGAGACGTCGGACGTCTCTTCAGAAAATCGGGGCAGAGGTCTCCCGCAGTTCTTGGCCTCTCGGGGCCCTCGCGGGGCCTCGGGACCGTCACAAAACGACTCGGGATGAAGAACCGGTCCCAGGGAAGTGGTCGGGAGGTCGGGGGCCCGCGTCTCGAAGAAGTCGAGGCGTCGGATGTCTGGGTATGCCGAGGATGCCGCGCCACGTTGCCGCCCGTGCCGCCTTGTGGGCGCCCCCGTGCTCTGTGCTTCCGCGACACAGTTTTCATGGCACGGCTTGCACCACAGAGCTTTGCTCCGCATCGATTTTGCGCACCATAGCTTTCATCACCTGGCGTACACCCCGTAGCGTCCACCTTCACTTCACACCACCTAGCTTACACGACTGAGCTTGCACCACATAGTTTCCACCTCGTCGGCTCACACCACATCACTTTCACCACGCAGCCTGCACCGCACATCTTTCACCTCCACAGCACAATGACGAAGCGATTGGGGTCCACGCTGGCTAACACTCTGTTTTGCTGTTGGTGGCCCTGAGGGCCGTAAGCGCCGATCCGCGGAGGTGATGCAAAACTAGCACTGCTTCGGGCGCCGGAGCAGGCTGACAGCCCCCGGAGGCCGAAATGTTGCACAAAAAAACCCTTCGTTTGTGCAATCCTTCGTTTGTGCAATCCTTCGCTTGTGCAATCCTTCGTTTGTGCAATCCTTCGCTTGTGCAATCCTTCGCTTGTGCAATCCTTCGCTTGTGCAACCCTTCGTTTGTGCAACCCTTCGTTTGTGCAATCCTTCGTTTGTGCAACCCTTCGCTTGTGCAATCCTTCGTAGAAGAGCGCTCCGATTGGAGACATCGGCCCGTCGGATGTCCGTGCCCGACGCTCCGCGGGAGTCTCGTGGGCACGTCCTCGAACGAGTCGGTTCGGCTGCCTCTCCGGCGCCGTCGCACGCCGTCCGCCCCTGCGATCCGATCGATTCGGATTCGGAATCGATCGGATTCGGAATCGATGTTCGGATTCGGATTCGGAATCGATTCGGATTCGGAATCGATGTTCGGATTCGGAATCGATGTTCGGAATCGATGTTCGGATTCCATCCGCCCCTTCGATCCGATCGATCGGATTCGGAATCGATGTTCGGCCGGCCCAAGCTGATTGGATTCCGATGCGGCCAAACGCTCGCATGGCGCTTTTGTGCATTCTGGCGCGGCCAGTTCGGTTGTATTTCGATTCCGACCCAGGGCAGCCCGATCCGACGCACACTCCGATTTGATCCGACCTCCCGATCAGATGTTGACTGATCCTGTCCCCTGCCGCCCGCCATATCGAGCGCACCGCGAGATCCTCTGGGACACGTCCCCCAGACTGGCAGATTTGTGTGTATATATATATATACACATGTATCGAAGACGCCTGGGGCGCATCACCGCCGCCCCCCGCCTTCGGAAGCGCCAAATGTGGCCGAACGTTGCGGCCAGAGTTCGGCTAAGCGATCGGACTACGTGCTGCCCCCACCCGTTGTGGAAACCCTTCGGGGAACACATGGGGGAGAAAGAAAAGGAGGAGGAGGAGGAGGAAAAAGAGGAGGAGGAGGAGGAAGAGGAGGAAGAGGAGGAGGAGGAGTAGGAGGAGGAACACAAGGAGGAGGATGATGATGAGGAGGAGGAGGAGGAGGAGGAGGAGGACGAGGAGGGGGCAAGAACCAGACCAGCGTGGCACCGCCGGGCTCGCGCCAAGGGGGCGACTGACGAATTATTGTTCAGATTGTGCAGGTCTGCAAGGAACATCGGGCGACATCACGCTGCATCGATTCCACCTCATTGGAAATGCCCCGCGTGCGGCAGCAAGTTGCCAGTCTCAGCATGGAAGTGCACGCGCGGCAACGCCTGGACATGGGCATCACCGCCACGAAGCAAAGCAAAAACACAGAAGACCCCCCCGGGTCAGGAAAGATGCTGGAGTGCAGAAGAAGCTCGACTACATCATCGAAGAAATCCTCCGTTCGCTGCCCCAGGACGCGATAGAGCACAAGGCTTGGGTGCAGAGGAGGACGTTCGCCAGATGCTCTGATAAGCATGTTCCCGGAAAGGGCGCGGGCCCAGGGTTCTCTTTGGGCGACGGGAAGCGGGCCGGCGGAATCATTTGCGGTAAATAACGAACCGGGAAGAGGGCCGGCGGAATTATGTTTCAGGATATCTCGAGCGAAACGCTTGTTGTTCAGAATTGTTGAGGATGTTTCGAGCGAAGCGCTTGTGTTGCCTTATATGTTGTTTGATGCTGAGTCCCGAACGAAACCCTTGTTTTTCAATATTTGTTGAGGAGGTCTCGAGCGAAACGTCTATTTTGTGTTATAGATTCTTTCTCTCCTGGGGACCAGAATTCAGAGGATGTCTCAGGTGAAATGCTTGTTTTACATATGTTCTGCATTGGGATATGTACTCAAAACTTTTCGCTTCCCCCCCGCCCCCCAGAAGGCCCCAGGATGCTCGAGAAGCGTGAAAACACATCGGTTCCTAACGCCCCAGGGCGGGACAAGGGTGAAAACACATGGGTTCCAAACGCACCAGGGCGGGAGAAGCATGAAAACGCATGGGTACCTAACGCCCCAGGGCGGAACAAACGTGAAAACATATGGTTCCTAACGCCCCAGTGCGGAAGATGCGTGAAACCACATAGCTTCCTAACGCTCCAGGGCGGGACAAGCGTGAAAGCACGTGGGTTCCCAACGCCCCAGGGCGGGAGAAGCGGAAAAACACATGTGTTCCTGACGTTCCAGGAGGCCCCAGGAGGTTCCAGGAAGCTTCACGAGGCACCAGGAGGCATTGTTTTGTATTGGGATACGCTTTCGGGGGGCGCTTTTCGCCCCCCCCCCCCCCCCCCTGGAGGCCCCAGGAGGCCCCAGGATGTATTTGTCTGTGTTGAGTATGTGTTCGGGGAGCGCTTTTCGCTCCCCCCAGGCAGCGTGAAGCCACATCGGTTTCTAACGCCCCAGAGCGGGACAAGCGCGAAAACACACGGTTCCTAACGCCCCAGGGCGGAGCAAACGCGAAAACACATTGGTTCCGAACGCCCCCCTGGCGGGAGATACGTGAAAACGCATGGGTGGTTCATAACGCCCCAGGGCGGGGCAAGCCTGAAAACACGTTGGTCCTCTGGCACGTCCCGTGGCACGTCCATTGGCACGTTCCGTAGCGCATCCCCTCGGCACGTCCCGCGGTGCGTCCCCATGGCACTTCCCCTGGCACGTCGCCTGGCGCGTCTTTTGGGACGTTCCGCGGTGCGTCCTCCTGGCATGTCCCCCTGTCGGTTAGCTCTGGGGCAGCTACTATGTGCTCAGGCAGCTCGTCCTTAAGATCCAGATCAATTCGATGAGGATTCGGATGCAACGGAAGACTTTATCCACAACACTATAGAGCACAACCGCGGCATGGCACATCGCAATTCAGCACGGCGCAGCACAGCACAGCCCTCGGCACAGTACATCAAGATCGATACAGTCAGCACTGCAACCTGTCACGTGCCCTGGCACGTTCTGTGGCACGTCCCGTGGCGAGTCCCCCTGGCACGTCGCGCGGCGCGTTCCCTGGCACGTCCCGTGGCACATCCATTGGCACGTTCCGTAACGCGTCCCCTTGGCACGTCCCGCGGTGCGTCTTCATGACACGTCTCCTGGCACGTCGCCTGGTTTGTTCCTTAGGACGTTCCGCGGTGCGTCCTCCTAGCATGTCCGCCTGTCAAACAGCTCTGGGGCAGCTACGATTTGCCCAGGTAGCTCGGGCTTAAGATCCAGATAAGTTCGGTCAGGACTCGGATGCAAAGGAGGACTCGATCCACAAGGCTATAGGGCACACTTTCGGCATGGCACATCGCAATTCAGCACGGCGCAGCACAGCACAACCCTCGGTACCGCACAGCAAGATCGATACTTTCAGCATTGCATCTGCCTGTCGCCCAATCAGGTGTCTTTGAAGCGCTGCCACGCCTTACAGTTTAATATTCCTTTTTCTGGGTTCGTGGGTCGATCGTGTTTTTTGGTCATGCCGAGTGGCATGATTGACCATCTCATTCAGCAAGCCGGCGGGTGCAGCAGGGGTTAAGACTATATCCCAGTTGACGCTCTCACTAATCACCTTGCCAATCAAATGGCTTGAGCCAAAGAGTTCAAGAAGACTGTCGACACGAGGATTTATCAGCTGGCGAGGGCCATCAAGGGGAAGCTCGAGGCGGACAAGGACGCCACCAAACAGCGGGACGTAATCGCCGTCCTGACATACAGAAGTTTCGCCATGCGACCTACTCCGAGCCAGCTCATCTCATTGCGCAGGAGGTTGGACCAAATCGACGAGAGAAGGCAGACGATCGCGCGGAAGCTCGCAGATCGTCGGCAAGAGGACGACGACCTCAGGAATGAACAGAAGGAGCTCCAGGATACCACCAGGGACTTAGAACTACGTCGACATGCCGGGGACAACACCGCGAAACTCGCAGCCGCAGCCGCCCCAGATACCACGCGCAAAACAAGTTTAAACGAGATGGAGGAGTGGGGCCCGCTAGAGGTATTCAGCAAGAGGGCGGCAGAGGAGGGCCGCCCGACCAGTTCAGATCCGGAGAGAGTTCAGAAAGCGCAGCGCATCGTCATCAACGCAGCCACGTAGATTGCGAGGCGCACCACCCACGGCGGAGAGGGGCACCCTTGAACCACGCCAGCTTCCAGTACCTTCAGTCAGCGCGGAACCGTTGGACGAGATGCGTCAGCACTGGGAGCAAAATGTAGACCAGGAGTTCGATTTCATTCACGAGCAGACGCAAGCGAACGCCAGGGCCCAGTACGATAACCAGCAGGCCTTTACGAACCGGCCAGGGCAGGCCATCACCGCGACCTTGTAGCAGCAGCTCTACGCACAGATCGAGGCGACCGACATGCAGTTGGCGAACGCAACCACCCATCAGCTGCAGCAGGCGGAGAGGCAGCAATCCGAGGCGATGCGTCAACAGCAGCAGCTACACGGACCAAAACGGGCTCGGCAGCTTCCAGCGCCAGCTTCACCCGCGATGGCACTAGGTATGACTTGGACCGCGGAGCAGATCCGCATGCTGGAGGCCTCACCAGCCACGGCGCCTCAGGAGATGGCAGCCGAGGCCCCGGCGGACCTGGCGGGCTCACTGCCCCCCCCCAAGGTGGCCAGGGCCACCGCTGCCGCCTGGGAACCTGCCGCCGATCTCGATATCCAGGTCGGCTTCCAGGATCGCGCCTCAGACGCGCAGCGGCGGCGGGGCGAGGAGGCGACGCGGAGGGCGGGCGCCCGCCATCCTGGCGGCCACCGCCCCGACGGCCGAAGAGGACAGTTTGATCGAGGAGCTCCGCATCCAGGAGGAGACCATCGCAGAGGGCTCCGAGGCGCGCCGTTCGGGCAGATGCGTCCAGCGCGCCATCAGAAATATCAAGACGCGGGCCATGCAGCCCTTCGCGGGACGGACTGGGAGGGGCGCGGCATCGGCGACGGCGGCGGCTGCGACGAGTAGCCGACGCAGGACTGCGCGGAGCGCGCGCAGCCAGAGCGCGCCCCAGAACACATGCATCGGGAGTATATGGCACGCGAGTTGCTCGGCTCATCCTCGTCAAGGAGTCGAAGCTCGTCAGACTTGCCTAGTGCGCATGCTGGCGGAAGCTCGAGTTTGGCGCTGCTGCTGGGCGACCGAAGCGGCGCCGCGTGCGGGGCCATGGCGGAGGAGGGCGTCGGCCTCTACTTCGCCAGTGGTGGAACCGCAGCATTCGTTTCGAGGAAGCCCCTGGATGCCAGCGCCGAACAGAAATATGCCCATAGTGAACGCGATGCGCCAGGGCGCCAGGTCGCGCCAGTTTCGCTCGACAAGCAACGCGATCACCATCCCATCGGGAGAGAGCACCGCGCGAGCTCGGTCGACACCGGCCTCTAGTCCACCATATACTACGCGCAGGTGGCATCCCATCGGCACTGGCAGAGTGCACGGGGCTGCAACTGCCTGGAAGTGCACTGGCAGCCATCGGGGCTTCCTTGACTTCCACGATCAGAGACCCCGCTGCGAGGGGCAAAGTCCGCGAAGAGTCAGTTCAGGAACAGGGGCAAGAGGGCGCCGCAGATGCGAATATGCCTCCTTCAAGCGCTCGCGGTCGTAGGACTCAGCATGGGGCCTGGTCGCGATTGATGAGCGCGATGGTGGATCTTTCGCGCGCGCGCGCAGGGGCGCGCGGTGCACGCGCGCGCAGCGCGGTGCCCGCGGCGGCGATGAGCGCGGCAAAGTCGAGTGCAGCATCAGAGATGGCAGCCACTGCGTGCGCCTAGGTGTTGATTGTCAAGACAATATTGGATCCGCGATGTCACTATCCATGGAGACTCCTTCGCAGCTATCCAGACCGCGAAGGGGGGCGTTTTGCAGCCGGCGGAACTCGGACATGGCCAGGATGCCCTAGACGCCCCCTTCGGATCAGAGGCAGACTCACCATATTGATCCACGACATCGCCCTGGTCATTGTGGACGTCCGCGGCGGGAGTTGAGCGACGCAGTGGCAAAGTTCTACAGAGCGACCGATCCGACGCAGATCGACAACTCCCTCTTCCAGGCGCTAGATCACAGCGAGGAAGTGGACTGGGAATGGGTCGCGGCGGATGAAGGGCCAAGACAGGCCGCTGACCTGCCGATCGTGGACGGAGCCTTTGAATATACCTCCAGATCGCAGGCGCCCACACACGAGCACACGGGGCCACCGGAGGCGCAGGGGGCACCTTCCGGCACGGAGAGAATTTAGCGGAAGTAACCGCGCATGGAGCCAGAATGCGCGCGCGATGGCTGGGGGCGACCTGGGCGCCGGCCCGCTTTCATAAGAGCTCAGCTTCGCGAGCGCGCGCATCTTGCCAGCCTTCAGGAAGTCAGAGGAAAGGCGCCGAACTGGCCGGCAGTTTTGGACGGGCCACCACAGAGGCTGACTCGCAAGGGAACTATGGATGCGGCCTCCTGGTCAACCCGCACATGGCATGCGGCGTAGATCAAGAA